AGATGTCCGCAATATATTTGGAGGTTAAAATGGACCAAAAACTAAAAATGTTCCTGATTTTGCAGCCGTTATAAAGGTCACAAATTGAAACCAAAGGACACAAAGTCTCGCATGAAGTTCGAGATTAGGACAGCGAGTAAAATGGACCACTACTTTTGTGTGAAAAAATACCAGCATTACTTACAGGCGATATCCGAAATGCACAAAAGGCGAACTTCTGATTTCGTAATTGGGCAAATATCCCTGGTCAGGTCAGTGCTCCGTGACATAATTTCAAAAGAGAAATCTTCCAAAATCGATCTGAATAAAAGGGGGCTTATAACATATTGTAGTGTTGTAGGGTATCACATGGTCGGCCCCGCACTACTATAGCCTTTGCTTACTTGTTAATTTTATTGAATGAAAGCAAAAAATGTCGAAAATAACATCAAATTTTAGAATTTAGAATAGATTTGTTCGTCCTTCCTTTGGCACGAATTATGGCCTTCAAATGGCCAATGAAACCATCACACGCTACCCGAAAGTTGCTCTGTAGTATTTTGGCCCATTCCTGGCGAAGCGCTTGCTTGAGGTGATCGACATTTTGGTATTTTTTAGTACCAACCTTGCTTTCCTAAATACTCCAGACACAATAGTCCAACGGAGATTTTGGTGGCCATTGTGTGCTGGAAATTAAGCGAGGAACCTCATTTTGTAACCATTCTTGGGTGGCGCGTGCTGAGTGCGACGAGGTGGGCTTGAATTTACTCTAGCTCTGGAAAATAAATTAATTAACTAAATATTTTTTAAGGAATATTTTTCGCTTAAAGGGACTTGGGCAAGAATACCTTCTGGCCTCCTATAAATATTATTTCTGGTCATCTCTTTCAAGGATTTCGAATGGTTTATAAAAAAATCGCCCAGGTGTTCTATATAAGGAATTGGAGTTTTATATTAAATGTATTGTATAAACAAAGACACTTGGACTTCTAAAAATAGTAGATTTTATTTCTTCTGCTTTTTTCGAAGAAGATAATCTTGTAACTTTTTGAGAAAGTGCTTCTAGTCTTCTGTAAAAAGATTTTCCGGTTTTCTATTTTAATATCGTTGAGTTTCTGCTACGTTTTTTGTTTCTGATAGTTTGCTCTTCTTATTCTCGTATTTGAAAATATTATACGATATTTGTTTCTGATATTGAATGTGTAGACTTCCTTCACGGAAACTCCACAAACTTCGAACTGGCTTAATAATTTCAAAATGAAAACATATACTCCTCAAACCATACGCCTCCTCAATGCCTCTCATACCACCCAAACAACAACATTTAATTTATAATCAAAATAAAATATTATTGTGTCACATGGACGTTCGTTTTTGTTTGTGGTTTACACCAAACGCTTTTCATTTTTTTCCCCGCTGCTGATGGTTTACAAAATGAAGTTCCATCAAACTCCATTAGCCGGAAAAAGTGCACGAATATTGTGGAATAATTATTTTGTGAGTGTTTTTATTTGATTATTTTTTAATGTAACGACCTGAACGGCAGGAACGGAGGACACGCATCCATCGAAACCACAAAAACCACTGAGTTTCACTAAATATCCTTCTGTATGAGTATGCACCACGAAAGTGTAATCACATCAAAGTGTTGTTGTTGTTGTGATTTCAGTTTTTTTTTTATTTTTGTGCCCTGTTACGACTTTGGCGAAAGCCACGCCAACACATTCCCTTTGGAGCTCATTAAAAAATATCAAATACCACTGGTTTTGTGGTTGCGATTTTTTTCATGCCATTAAAAAACTGTTGACATTTGAGACAGATTGGCTGCAGTGCAGAAAGTAATAAACTATTGTAGGTGGTTTTTGGTTGCTATCATTTATGAGTAGAAGAAGAGCGATATAGACGATCTGGAGAGAGTCTCTTTAACCAAAAGAGGAGATGCAATATGTTTTATAGCTGTCTAGCTAAGGATCATCTAAAAGACGAAGATCGATCATATAGACGAGCTAAAAAGGTCGTATCTATAGACTAGCTAAAAAGGTCGCCTTTAAAGATGAGCTAAAAAGGTCGTCTCTATAGACGAGGTAAAGGTCGTCTTTATAGACGAGCTGTGAAAGTCGTCATTATAGACGAGTTGTGAAGGTCGTTTTTATAGACGAGCTGTGAAGGTAGTCTCTATAGACGAGCTAAAAAGGTCGTTTCTAAAATGAGCTAAAAAGGTAGTCTCTATAGACGAGCTAAAAAGGTCGTTTCTAAAATGAGCTAAAAAGGTCGTCTCTAAAGATGAGGTAAGGGTCGTCCCTATAGACGAGCTGTGATAAGTCGTCTTTATAGACGAACTTTGAAGGTCGTCTTTATAGATGAGCTGTGAAGGTCGTCTTTATAGACGAACTGTGAAGGTCGTCTTTATAGACGAGCTGTGAAGGACGTCTTTATAGACGAGCTATCGTCTCTATAGACGAGCTATAAAAGTCGTCTCTATAGACGAGCTATAAAGGTCGTCTCTATAGACGAGCTATAAAGGTCGTCTCTATAGACGAGCTATAAAGGTCGTCTCTATAGACGAGCTATAAAGGTCGTCTCTATAGACGAGCTATAAAAGTCGTCTCTATAGACGAGCTATAAAGGTCGTCTCTATAGACGAGCTATAAAAGTCGTCTCTATAGACGAGCTATAAAGGTCGTCTCTATAGACGAGCTATAAAAGTCGTCTCTATAGACGAGCTATAAAGGTCGTCTCTATAGACGAGCTATAAAGGTCGTCTCTATAGACGAGCTATAAAGGTCGTCTCTATAGACGAGCTATAAGGTCGTCTCTATAGACGAGCTATAAAGGTCGTCTCTATAGACGAGCTATAAAGGTCGTCTCTATAGACGAGCTATAAAGGTCGTCTCTATAGACGAGCTATAAAGGTCGTCTTTATAGACGAGCTATAAAGGTCGTCTTTATAGACGAGCTATAAAGGTCGTCTCTATAGACGAGCTATAAAGGTCGTCTCTATAGACGAGCTATAAAGGTCGTCTCTGTAGACGAGCTATAAAAGTCGTCTCTATAGACGAGCTATAAAGGTCGTCTCTATAGACGAGCTATAAAAGTCGTCTCTATAGACGAGCTATAAAGGTCGTCTCAATAGACCAGCTATAAAGGTCGTCTCTATAGACGAGCTATAAAGGTCGTCTCTATAGACGAGCTATAAAGGTCGTCTCTATAGACGAGCTATAAAGGTCGTCTCTATAGACGAGCTATAAAGGTCGTCTCTGTAGACGAGCTATAAAGGTCGTCTCTATAGACGAGCTATAAAGGTCGTCTCTATAGACGAGCTATAAAGGTCGTCTCTATAGACGAGCTATAAAGGTCGTCTCTATAGACGAGCTATAAAGGTCGTCTCCATAGACGAGCTAAAGGTCGGTTCTATAGACGAGCTAATGATCGTCTCTATAGACGTGCTAAAGGTCGTCTCTATAGACGTGCTAAAGGTCGTCTCTATAGACGAGCCTGTAGACCAAGAAGTCTTCATAGATGAGTTGGTGGCCAAGAAGTCTTCATAGATATATTCAATTAATTTATCCTGCAGACAACCCAAAAGCTTCGCAGGACACATAAATTGTAATCTTACTTGAACTTCAATAAAGGATTCAAAAATCTAAAAAAAAAAACAAAAAAAAAAAAAAGATGAGTTGGTGGCCAAGGAGTCTTCATAGACGAGTTGTTGCCCAAGGAGTCTTCATAGACGAGTTGTTTCCCAAGGAGTCTTCATAGACGAGTTGGTGGCCAAGGAGTCTCCACAGACGAGTTGGTGGCCAAGGAGTCTCCATAGACGAGTTGCTGCCCAATGAGTCTCCATAGACGAGTTGCTGCCCAATGAGTCTCCATAGACGAGTTGCTGCCCAATGAGTCTCCATAGACGAGTTGCTGCCCAATGAGTCTTCATGGACAAGTTGGTGTCCAATGAGTCTTCATGGACAAGTTTGTGCCCAGACGATTTGTTGGCCGAGGAGTCTTCGTAGACAAGCACATACATAGATTATTTAAAGGGCGAGGATAAATCCACAGATCTATGTTCTACCATTCGACTCGACTCTGGGTCCTCGTCCGTGTAGATTCTCCAATCAGTATAGGCTTATTAGTCCTCCAGTTAATCTATACAGACCAGAGAACAAATTTGCAAATTTTTACTTGGGAATCAACCTTGGCCCGGCATTCCAACTTGTCTACATAGACTTCCTGTCCTTAACTTTTCTCCCCGACTCCCTTGCCCTTTTATTTTGTCATCAATGATTCTCTGGCAGCGTGTTAGACTACCAAGCCTTTCTTCTCTATTATATACCCCCTTAAATTTTCCTGATAACAAAAAAGGGAGTTTTTCCTTATCCTTTTCTTGTGTTATTTATTCCTGTATTTCCAACTGACTTCAATTCAAAACTAAATCCTCCAATGAATCATTTACATTATTCTTTTACTTAACTTTTAAAGAGAAACATAAATATTTAAGAAGATTATTGACAGATATAATAACAAATGGCGACTTTCATCTGAAGTTCATTCGTGTTTTTTTTTTTTTTTTTTTTTTTTTTTTTGAGAGAGATGGAGAGGGAGAAAGTTTCATTATTACTTTATCTTTTGAGTTAGGTCATTGTGTAAATATAAAGGCGACTATTCGAGGTATCGTTCGCAATTGAAATGAATAATTTATTAAGCTGGATTACATTTTGTAATTTTTTTTTTTTTTTTTTTTTGGTTTGTGATATTGGCCCTATAGAAGAATTATGCAAAAGAAGGAATAAACAATATACCTTTTCTTTGCTTTCTTCAATTTTTTCACACACCAGAAGTACGAAATGGATTCTCTTTTTTTTTTTTTGCAAGGACTTTGAAGTATTTTTTTGTGTAATTTTATTTGTTGATACTTTTGTGTTTTGCATTTCATGTTTTGTCGCTACATGTGTCTCCTGTTTGTGCATTGCCATAATTCGTTGTTGTTTATTTGCGAGTCTATTTTTTATTCTTCTTTGTGCTTGCAGTGACATTTCCTTCATATTGCCATGGTGGCGCCAGGTCCTGTGGAGCATCCTGTACGGTGTTATGGTCATTGTGGCGACTGGTGGCAACTTAATCGTTGTATGGATTGTCATAACAACAAAACGGATGAGAACTGTAACCAATTACTTTATAGGTAAGTTATTTGAATGTGTGTGTGTGTGTGGGTTGCGGGGATGCGAGTAGTTCATCAAATTTTCAAACTTGCATTTCAGGCAATTTAGATATGTATGTCACATTCCTGGCAAATATTCGTTACTTTTTCGTTTGAACTTTCTGTCACCCTCAAGTTTCTAATTGCTTTAGGAATTTATGGATAATTGTTTTCCTCTCTCTCTCTCCCTCTTTTTCTTATGTTTCTAAATTCAACTCAGTGGATATCTTTTGTGGTATATCCTTTGAACTTGTTTTTTTTTCTTCGATTTGACCATCAATCATCAATTGTTGTCGGTCAAACTAATACTGAGAATCTATTTTTATTATTTCGTTTACATTTTCTTTGAATATATTCTAAATTTTCAAAGGGAAGACTGTTTTCGTGGGATTAATAGAGCCAGCAATGTGGATTTTTTAAACAATATTTTCACAGGACTCTCAAAGCCACAAACGTGGATTTTTTAAACAATATTTTCACAGGACTCTCATAGCCATAAAAGTGGATTTTTAAAGAATATTTTCACAAGACTCTCAAAGCCCTAAATGTGGATTTTTTAAAGAATATTTTCATAAACGTGGATTTGTTAAAGAATATTTTCACAGGACTCTCAAAGCCATAAACGTGGATTTTTTTAACGAATATTTACACAGGACTCTCAAAGCCATGAACGTGGATTTTTAAAGAATATTTTCACAGGACTCTCAAAACCATAAACGCGGATTTTTAAAGAACATTTTCACAGGACTCTCGTAGCTATAAACGGGTATTTTTTAAAGAATATTTTCACAGGACTCTCAAAGCCATAAGCGTGGATTTTTGAAAGAATATTTTCACACGACCCTCAAAGCCATAAACGTGGATTTTTTAAAGAATATTTTCACACGACCCTCAAAGCCATAAACGTGGATTTTTGAAAGAATATTTTCACACGACCCCCAAAGCCATAAACGTGGATTTTTTAAAGAATATTTTCACAGGACTCTCAAAGCCATAAACGTGGATTTTTTAAATAATATTTTCACAGGACTCTCAAAGCCATAAACGTGGATTTTTTTAAACAATATTTTCACAGGACTCTCAAAGCCATAAACATGGAATTTTATAGAAAACTTTCATATGGCTCTCAAAGCCAAAAAGGTGGATTTTTTATAGAAAACTTTCATATGACTCTCAAAGCCAAAAAGGTGGAATTTTTATAGAAAACTTTCGTATAACTCTCAAAGCCAAAAACGTGGATTTTTTAAAGAATATTTTCACAGGACTCTGAAGGCCATAAACGTGGATTTTTTAAATAATATTTTCACAGGACTCTCAAAGCCATAAACGTGGATTTTTTAAAGAATATTTTCACTGGACTTTGAAAGCCATAAACGAGGATTTTTTAAGGCCATTAACTCTCTCAAGGCCATTAACGAGGATTTTTTAAAGAATATTTTCACTGGCATCTCAAAGCCTTAAACGTTGATTTTTTTAAAGAATATTTTCACAGGACTCTTAAAACCATAAACGTGGATATTTTAAGGAATATTTTCACAGGACTCTTAAAGCCATAAACGTGGATTTTTAAACAATATTTTCACAGGACTCTCAAATCCATAAACGTGGAATTTTAAACAATATTTTCACAGGACTCTCAAAGCCATAAACATGGATTTTATAAACAATATTTTCACAAGACTCTCAAAGCCATAAACGTGGATTTTTTAGAAAACATTTTCACAGGACTCTCAAAGCCATAAACGTGGATTTTTTAGAAAACATTTTCACAGGACTCTCAAAGCCATAAACGTGGATTTTTTAAATAATATTTTTAAAGACCTGTTTAGGGCATCGACGTGGATTTTTTAAAAAATATTTTCACAGGACTCTTAAAGCGATAAATGTGGATTTTTTAAAGAATATTTTCACAGGACTCTTAAAGCGATAAACGTGGATTTTTTAAAGAATATTTTCAAAGGACTCTCAAAGTCATAAACTTTTCACAGGACTCTAAAAATTTTTTCACTGGACTCCTAAAGCCATAAACTTGGATTTTTTCAAAAATATTTTTACAGAACACTCAAAGCCATAAATGTGGATTTTTTTCGAAAATAGGAATATTTGTCAAGGACTTGAATTTTTAAAGAAATTTTCACGAATATTTGTCAAGGACGAGGATTTTTTAAGAAAAAAATTTCACGTTTAATTTCAGGAATATATTTCAAGGACGTGGATTTTGAAAGAAATTTTTCACGAATATTTATCAAGGACTAGGATTTTTTAAGAATATTTTCAGGAATGTTTGTCATGGACGTGGATTTTATTATATTTTTCAGGAGTATTTATCAAGGACCAACAAAGTAGATTTTTAAGAACATTTTTATAGGAACAAAGCAACATGGATGGCTTTTTGAGCATATTTTCGAAAAACATCAATGTGGATATTTTTATAATATTTTTCAAGGATCGCCAATAACGAGTTTTGTTTTTTTTTTAAAGATCAACGTGGATTTTAGCACACATTTTAAGGATCATTTTCAAAGACAATAAACGTTGTTCCTTAGAAATCTTTTTCCAGGATCGATGTAGATTTTTAGGAATATTTCACAGCCGAGCTATATACGTGGATTTTATAGGAATACTTTTAAAGGATTTGGAACAATCAACCTGAATTTTTTGACATTTTTTCAAAGGAACAGTAACGTGCTTTATTTATAAAAATGTCAAGTATAAATAACTTTCTCTCTGACAGCTGAAACGAAGTGTTTTTACATAGGAGCTTCTAAGCCAGAGAGTCTAAATCAACCTACCGAAGCGCCAGAGAATCTCAACAGACGAAATTAAGGGTCAGGAAGTTTCTATTGACTATATTTTTACAGGACTTTCAAAGCCATAAACATGGATTTTTTAAAGAATATTTGGAAACACATATTAAGGGCATCGACGTGTACTTTTTAAAGAATATTTACAAACACTTATTAAGGGCATCGACGTGGATTTTTAAAGAATATTTTCACAGGACTCTCAAAGCCATAAACGTGGATTTTTTAAAGAATATTTTCACACGACTCTCAAAACCATAAACGTGGATTTTTTAAAGAAAATTTTCACAGGACTCTCAAAGCCACAAACGTGGATTTTTTAAAGAATATTTTCACACGACTCTCAAAGCCATAAACGTGGATGTTTTAAACAATATTTTCACACGTCTCTCAAAGCCATAAACGTGGATGTTTTTAAACAATATTTTCACACGTCTCTCAAGCCATAAACGTGGATTTTTTAAGTGTCGAAGTGTCTTTCCATAGGAGCTTCTAAGCCAGAGAGTCTAAATCAACCTACCGAAGAATCTCAATAGACGAAATTAAGGGCCAGGAAGTGAGTCTCCATAGCTGAAGTTGAAAAAGTTTCTATTGACGAGCTTAACTATTAAATCTCTATTATTTTTAAGGGCAAAACAACGTGGCTTTTATTAAAAGTAATTTTTAAGGACCAAAACAAAGTGGATAAAATGGGCTGGGCCTAAAATAGTATTATCTTCTCGACTTCAAATTAATTCACAAAATAATGACCACCTCTCATACGTTTATAGATATATACAAGACTTGTTGTCCCCAAGTGCAAACATGACTAATGAAATTTACAAATTTAACACATCAATTTGTAGCGCCATACCATTCATTCTAATTTTAGTATCCCAATTACACGGTAACACCCAGCAATTCAATGGAATCACACATTTGCTTCATCGAATTAAATACATTCGTTCATTTGGATCTGCAAATAGACTCATTTTAAATGGAATCCAAAATTATATCAGCACACACATTTTCGGTGGTTTTGGTAAATATTGAAACGAAACCAAAAATGATTTTGTAAACAAACTAGAAAGAAAACAAAACAAGACACACACACACACGCATGTAGCCAATGTAAACAACTTGGGAGTTCAATTTGCATTTGTCGACACAACAACATCACAAAAAAAACTGAATTCTCAACCAACGCAAAGACATAAAAAACTGAAATAACAGATGTGTTTCAACTTGAATGACTTAGTCACATAGTGGAAGAATGAGTTCTCTTTTCTGATGACATTCCATCATGTGAAACTCGACAGGGTGTGAATAATAACAAATATGGGTGTGAAAAATACAATAAGCGTAATGAAATCTTTATCTGCTTTATATTCATGGCATTCAGCAATATTCCAATTGGATTTGGAACAGAACAATTCGCACAAGGTTCGTTAAGGAAAGAATTTCCATAAACTAGAATCGATAGGGGATCTTAATAGGCGGTCTAAAGGACGAGGAAGGCTGTATATATAGGGATAGGCAAAGGAGTCTACATGGACCTGATGGAGGAGTGGGCGAAAGAATCTATGTTGACGAGCTGAGAGGCGAGAGTTTTTAGGGGCAACCCGCTACTCCAGAGAGTCTCTATTCATTATTTTTCCGTCAAGTCGTAAAATAGAGAGTGTTAATGAGTATTTTTAAACAAGCCACAACATGTTTTTATACCCTCAGCCATATGGCTACAGAGGATATATATATCATTTGATACGGTCAAAACGTGCCTAGTCGAAATAACGGTCTTTTTGGACCAAATCCGTTTCAGAACATTTGGAGTCGATCTACCGATGTCCGTCCGTCCGTCCGTCTGTCTGTCTGGCTGGCTGGTGCCCACGATAACTATTGAAGGGAGTATCCGATTTGATCCAAACTTGGTACATCGTAATATTTTTGTCAAACTTAGATCGAGTTCGGAGATGGGCAATATAGGTCCACTCCTTCTGGTACCTCCCACACAAAATGTCAAAATTTTCAATGAAAATAATTTATTGCACAGAAAGAGAAAGGATAATCCGATTTTGCTGGAACTTTGCGAATCCTAATATTTTCATCAGTGCTAGGTCATGTGCGAAAATGGATAATATCGGTCCACTCCATCAGGGACCTCCCCCACAAAGGGTCAAAATTTTGGATAATTAAACTCTT